TCAACTACAGGGGAGAGGATGCTACCCTCACCAACCTGGCCAAAAAGCCCTAGTTCCCATAGGGGAAACATCTGGAAGTGAAAAGGAGAGCGCCCTGTGTGTGTGTGTGTGTTTGAGAGAGAGAGAGAGAGAGAGGGAGGGGGAGGGGGAGAGGAAGCGAGAGAGGACAATCGGACCCAAAAGACTGGGGCAGACCTCGGGATACCGTGGGGGCCGTGCGTCGCGGATAGGAGCTGCCGGCGACCGCGTCCAGGCGTTCATCCGGCTCTCGGCACCCGCGGTGCTTCCCCGCCCTCTCCGGCCGCGGGCTCCTCCGCTCCGCAGCCGGGCCTGGGACTTGGGATTCGGCTGCCCGCGGCCGCACCGCTCCTCCATGGCTTGGCGCCCCTCCCCGGACCGGCCCTTGCTTCTGCCACGGAGCGAGCTTCCCTCGGACACCCTGGGCTGTGCTCTCTGCGGCAGCTGCCGCCCCGCCCTCGGCTCTCCAGGGCAGGGGCTGGGGGACCGGAGCCCGGACGCGGCCCGGGGCACGCAGAGATGCGAGGCGGCCCAGCCCGGGCGCTGCTGGCACGGGCTCCCGGCACAAACCCGTCCGACTGGCTGGGCTACTCCCGCCCGACGCCCCCCCTGATGACACTGCTCGCTCTCTCCCAGCGCGGCAAGGCTGCCGCCGCTGCCAGTCTGCCCGCCGGGTTGTCAGAACAAGCGGCACCTCGCCTCCTGCGTGTCTCTGCAGAGCCCCGACATAATTAGACAGCCCCAATCCGGCTCGGAAACCCGAAATCCCTGCTCCGGCGCTCTCCCACTGCAGTCAAAGTTGTCGAAACAGTCTTCACTCTATTCTCTTCCCCGTTTCGTTTGTTTTCCTGTTGTTGGTTTTTTGCCTCACACACACATTCAACATGCGCCCCCACAGGGTCTCTCTCTAGGGGTGCAAATTCATCGCCTCACAACAAGGTCCCATAGGCACCTAGCGCGGCGTGGAAGTTCGGATTCGGCGCGGGGCGCTGGGTTTCGGCCTTGACGAAAGTGAATGCCCGAGCCTCGGGCTACTGCTGGGACCGGGACAATAAACCCTCGGAGACTTAGGGACAGAGTTTCACCCCGACTAGTTCTCAAAGGTCCCCCCGTCCTGAAAACAAAGCAGCTGGTCTGACGTGGGTGTCTGCGCCATACACAACGCACGACAGGAGTCCCCAGAGAAGCGTCGGTCTCGGTGGGATGCCACCTCTTGCCCCATTGGGGGGCGGGGGGGGGGAGAACGAAAAGGAAGGGCCCGGGAAAGGAGTGAGATTTTAAATAGTCTACAGAAAGAAAGGGGGAAGGGGACGGTGATACAGCGTTCACATAAAACCAGGTTCTGATTTCAAGTGAGGACAAGACCCCGCCACTGCGCCCTCACAGACCTTCACGCCTGGCTTTCCCACTTCAAATGCCAAAAAAAAAAAGAAAGAAAAAAGAAAAATAGCCAAAGCAGGGACTCCCACCTATTTATTTAGGTAATCTCCGGCGCGGCCCCCTCCATCTTCCCCTCCCGTGAATCATCGGATCATTTCAGCGGGGGTTGTGAGGGAGGTTGGGGCAGAGGTGGCCAGGCCGGGTCCCAGCGCCTCCCGCGGGCGGACCGGTGGTGCTGGGGCTTCCCCGGCTGCCCCAAGAAGCCGAAATCCGGGGACCTTGGGCTTTTAAATGGGTTCCGATGCGGCGCGCTTTATTGGCCCGGCGGGCTCCCCTCACCGGAGGTCGCATGCAGCCCCTCCAGGATTCCCACGGTCACACAGCCGAGTGCCGGGCTGCTGCAGGGGCGGATGCGTGGGGACCCGCAGCCAGCAGACTCCGTGTGGCTCAGTCTCCCACCCCCACCCACCCCAGGGACACGCCGACCAAGTAGCTCAGAGGGAGAAGCGGCTTAGAACTTCTTGAATAATATAGACTACCTGCAGTGGGCCCCGTTGTGATTTGGGAGTTGAGTGCTCTCAAATTGAACCCGCTAACTAGGAGATGCAACCCAGGCTCAGAGCGAAGTGTGCAGACCCCTTCTCCAAATAGAAATGAACCTTTTAAGAAAGGGGGGCGGGGAGGACGGAAGGAAGGAAAAATAAATAAATAAAAAAGGAATATTGAGGATCAGAGAGGAAGTTAAAAAGGGAAAAGGTTTTTTTTTTTCCTCTTTCCTTTCTCTTCCTGGTACTTGGGCCCCAAGGATCTCGCTGGAGAGACACGCGGAGTGCACAGGCGCGCGCCCAACTGCCAGCAATTGCTTCAAAAATCCATGCTTGTCTCTTCGCTCTACGCTTAGACACAGCCCATATTGGTCAGAAAAAGGGGGGAAGTGGGACATGGGCTTCGAAGGAGGGAAATGAAAAAGGGAGCGTCCACATCCTCCCTCTCCAGCCTCTCCCCTGCGTTCATCGGGCGAATCCGAGAGGCGAGCGCTGCGCTTCGGAAAGTTTGTCTCACCCGCGTTTCTCAGCTGGATGCGAGAAGAGGAGGTGCGGGAAGGTAGAGCTCGGAGCCTGAGGCCGCAAGGATAACTGACCCAGCGCCGCGCTTACCTCGCAGTCCTCGTACTTGATATTATCCGTCAGTTTCCAAAGCATTTTCATGGATCGGCGTGAATGGATTTGCCCCCTCTCCGCCTCGCACCAAAGTGGAGCTACTCTCTGGGTAAGCGCAAAGTGCAGGCTGCGACGGTGAGAGGAGGAGGAGGAGGAGGAGGAGGGAGAAGAGGAGGAGGAGGGAGAAGAGGAGGAGGAGGAGGTCGAGGAGGAGGAGGGCAAAAAGGAAGAGGAGGAGGAGGGTGAGGAGGAGGAGGAGGAGAGAAGGGATAGAGCTCCCGTGTGCGCTCGGAGATCTCCCTCTAATGGTAGAAACTTTTCCCTTTTCCAGCTCTTTACCAACAGCCTAATCGCCTCATTAGCATATCAACAATAGTCCAATTACTCGCCAGCACCACAATCTGCCGCCGGCCGCTCCGACCCAGGTATAAAGGCCTCTTCGAGCAGCGAACTTGCTCCTAGAGCGCACGCTTGCCTGTGAGCCGAGGAAATCTCCCAGCCCCGCCGTACGCCCCTCTCCTAGCGGTGCCACCCCCCGCATTCCTCCCCACTCCCCTTCCCTTCGGTCCCCTCCTGGCGGGAGATGCCCTGAGCAAAGGCCGGACGCTACGCCGGGCCAGAGCTGGTGAGCCTGGGGCCCGGCCCCCAGCACCTCTTCCTCACCCCTGCTGCCACTAACGGCGCTATCCTTTCGGCCACGTCCAATTTTGTTAGAAATTATTATCCCTTTCGCAATTAAATATAACCACCAAACCAGGACCAGCGAAGTCACTCCAGGATTTTTACCCAACAAGAGATCGCCTCCGCTCGGGGCAGTACCACCTCAGGCCGCAGAGCCTTGGGAGTTTCATTGGCTTTGCGCTTTCCTCCAGGCTGGAGATTTTGCCAAACGGCTCCAGTCGCTCGGCTGAGGTTTGCGATCATTTAATTCCCGAGTGTAAAATAAAAATTGTACCCTGAAAAGGTTACTTAACAGCTCTGGGGGTTAAATGATCTTCCTCTCGTTTGTATGAAGCTAGGGCCGAGTAATAAATCAACATGGTGTTTGGGCTAAAGGTTTCCTAGGTGCGATGTGGACAAGTATACAGAACTCCTATGGAGACTCACAGTCGCTTCTGGAGTTGAGCCGAAATACTGACATGTGTCATGCATGCATCAAAATAAATCGCTGGGAACCAACGCTTCGCTGTGCTAATCTGCTCCAGTTTTCCCAAGATCCCCCTTTTTAATTAAAGCAGGGAGAGTTCCTTCATGATTTGGTCATGTTACTAACGCGGGAGCACTCGCGGCGCAGAACCCGGAGGCCCGGCAGCTACCCCCTCATCCAGGTTGGCCAGTCTAGGCTATCCCGCTCTACACAGGGGCCTGCTCGCCCCACCGGAGCTTTAGATATTTTTTCTTCTATTTTCGTGGATTTTTTAAAAGAAAGGACTAAAATACAAAGACGTGATACTCGAAATACAGAATAATTAATTTCTCTGGCCGAGCTTCCTCATTTGTCCTCCATAAAAAAGTTTCGGTCTGTCTTTCTCCCACGTAAATACAGCAGACTCCTCAACAATAGTAGGTCTCGCCTCAGAGCTGCTCTGCTAACAACCTCTGATGCCTTCTGGGTCTGTTTCTTGCAAATCTCCAGGCCTCCCTGGTTTCCATACTGCGGCCTCGAAGTGAGGCATAGGCTGTTGAAAATCTGAGCTTTCCCTAACAGGTGGAAAGAAGGCAAAAGGAGAGAGGGCCCCTCCCGCCTCTCCCAAGCCTGTGGAAGGGAAATTCTCCCTCCAGAAGACTGCAGCAAATTTCCCAAGCCACGCAGAGTAGGCCAGAAACTCGCCACCCCACCCCCACCCCCGGCCCCCAAAAGTTAGGAAGACTAGAGCTGGAAGAGGGATTTAGAGCCGGGGACTCCCTCCGCAAGCCGTGGGCGCCGCCCTGCACTCCCTTCGCTGCCGGAACAGGCTTATGGCTAAACCTAGTACTCCACTCCCCGCCTCATTCCACCCTGGAAAGGGTGAGCTCTAGGGCTAGCACCACGCACCCTGTGGGACTGCCCTGGGGTCCACCTCAGTGGCTTAAAGTCGAGAGATGGGCCGCCAGGGGGACTGGCACCTTCCCAGCGGTGGCCGCAGCCGCAGAGCCGTGATCTATAGGCCAAATCCTAGGCCTGGGAGCATGGATTTTCCACCCCCAGACGTCACCACAGCGTGCTTAAGGGAACTCTAAGTTTCGCTTTCTTTCTTTAGTTTGTGAGCTGAGGAAGGCATTGGCCCTTCATCTTCTCCACGACCCCCCATCTTGCTGTCCCGCGCCCCGCAGATCTCTGGCTCCGCACCCGCCCGGGCTGCTAAACTGTTGTTGTATTCCCGCCGAGGGCACCTTTGAGGTGCAGATTGGGGCCTGAGGGCTCAGCGCCGCCGCCAGTGTTATGGGCACTGAAGAAAGGCCGGGGCAAGCACCCGGGTCGCCCCTGAAGCCAACGGAGCCGCATTGGTGTGAGCGTCATTACCACGACAAGTCGCTTGATTGCATGTCAATGCTGCGGCCTCGCTGGGACCCCAGGACAGCAGCGCCAGGCCTGGGGTTAGGGGTCAGGGGTCCAGGCCCGATTTTGGGGCGTGGAAAGGGCGTGGGGGCGGGGGTGGGGTGAGAGCAAGTATCTGTATGAGAGACGGAGACACCAAGAGAAACAAAGAGACGGCAGGGGACACAATGACTCTGTTTTCTCCGGTTGTCACCACCTAGTAAGACCCAGGAGCCCAAAAGGCCGAGTTCGGAGCATCCCGTCCCTCCTGGTCCCAAATCCGCAGGAGCCAGGCCCAGGATTCACTCCTTTCCCCTTCAAGCTGTAACCTAGCTGCTTCCGAACCTTAGTCCGTCCCACTGGAGGCCCAGACCCAGGCCCTGCCTGCGCTCCCAGCGCCTTCTCACTGCCGAGGAAGTCTGCAGCAGTTTTTCCGGCTTACAGAGGAAACCCCAAAAACTTCAGCCAAAGAACTTAACCAGTTTTTACCCCCCGAGAAGAGAATGGAGGGCCCTGAGGCCAACAGAGGCAAGGGAGGGAAAGGCGTGCAGTCCCAGGACTTGTGTTTGGTGTGGAATTTGTATCCTTAAACCACAAAGTTAGCCTAACTTTGGAAATGAAGTTTCATTTAGTGAGATTTAACTTGAGGGAGAAGCATAAAAGAACTCATGGTTGATAAACAAAAATATTAAGTGCAAGGAAAGAAATATTGCAAGATGACTTTCTTTCCCAAACTCCAGGGAATGTAGTGAAGACAGGACTTCTCCGAACTTTACTTCTAATGGCCTAAATCTGAAACAAGCGAAAGAACTCGCCCCAGAAGGAACAGAGTCCCGACTTTTCTTTGGCAAATCGGGGCGTTTGGTTCGAATCGCCCTACACACTTAGGTGAACAGAACCTCGCCCTAATCAGGCCTCGCTTTGCTGAGGCGAAAAGAGAGCCCCGGGGTTCCCATTATGAAATCAACTACAGGGGAGAGGATGCTACCCTCACCAACCTGGCCAAAAAGCCCTAGTTCCCATAGGGGAAACATCTGGAAGTGAAAAGGAGAGCGCCCCGTGGCTGGGGTCTGGTTCGTGGCTCAGGGCGGGCAGGATCCGGAGCCTAGACGGCCTTGAGGTGCTGCGGCCTAGCAGGGCCAAGCTTAGCAAGCTTTGGTTTCCGCAAATTTTAGACCTTCTTCTTTATCATCCACCAGTCAACTCCCATCCAGTCACCCCCATCCGTAGCCCAAACGGCGAAAACAGACTTCAGGAAGCGGACTGAGAAGATAAACTTTGCGCAAACTCTTTTAAGTATATTTTAAAAGAACGTGCTCGCCGCGCTCCTCTCCGGACACCTTTCCGTTCTCCACACCTCCTAGGTCCCCAAAACTTGGAGGCACAAAGAGGGACAGGTGCACCAGAACCCCACCTCACGCGCAGGCTTGGGGTCTGGGGCAAGACCCAAAGCGTTGCAAGCAGGGAACACTCATCACGCCGCACCGCAGTCCCCACCCTGCGCCCTCCCCACTTCTGAATTTGTCATCCTCCCCAGTTTCTACTTGGAGTTGGGGGGGCTGCTGTAGCGCAAACCACAAGTGACCCCCAGGGCCACCTGTGGAGCATACGCCGAACTTTCCCCAGCGCCCGGCCCGCGGGCAGCTCACGTTGCCCCCAGCGCAGCGGCCGCCGCCTGCGCGCGTTTTTCTTGTCCTCTTTCTCTCCTGGGACACTCCCGGGCGCTTCCAGGCGCGCCTCACCTACGACTCTCCTGCCCTGGGCCACGGCTCTACCTCTCCGCCTCCCCCTCCCACACCCCTCCCCCGCTCCACCTCCGCCCACCTCCGCCCCAGCCCAGGCAAACCCCCGTACCTGCCAGTCCCCCATTTTGGCAAGTATGGACATCGCGGCTCGGCGCTCCTGGCGACTGGTCCCCGCCGGGCATGGGCTATAGGGCTCGACCGGGCCCGCTCCTTGGAATCGCTTAGGCAAATCCTCCTTTTTTACCTGCTCACCAACATCTCACCTGGTCATAAAGAGCTGGGTTGCTACCTGCCGACGCATGCGCGCTAGCCCAGGAATTCACTCCGCCAGCCCTAGTCCCAAGCGCCTCGCGGAGCTGACCTGGGAAGTGATGGATTTATAGCCGCGGCAATCTCGCCATCAGCTCCAGCTTTTTCCCAACAGCCCCAACCCGCTTTCCCAGTCAGTCCCTGACCGGGGAACAGAGGCAGACTGCCTGCTGGGGTGTGCGGGGTGCGATGGGAGCGTGAGTGGCTGTGTTTACGCACTGAAGCAATGGGGGCATCTACACTCTCTTCCCATGGCTCTCCTCCCCCTCGAAACTTTGGGGCTTGGAGAGTCTCCACCCCGAGACGGGATTGGGGAGGGGGGAGAGTTGGAGGGCAAGGCCCGGAGATGGGGCCAGTCCCGATAGGTCCCGCGCATCTGGATGCACGCGGTGGGGGCCAGATCCCTGTCCCCGGCTCCCCACCGGCCCACGAGGATCGGAACAATCCCGAGGATGAGAACTGTCCTGGGCCTCGCGGATCCAAGTCTGCAACCCCCAGGGTTGCTTCAGCGTCGGATCTCAGATCAAAGTGTTTCTCAGTAGGTGAAGAGGTTCAGGATTCTGTTTCATTTCTGGCTCCTGGATTTAGTCTCCTCCCACCGCAGGGAGCCAAATACACACACACACATACACACACACACACACACACACATTTACTTGCACACTCATACACTTGTATTTAAGGTCCACCTTCTCTTCCTACTTTCACAGTTCCCCGCCCCTCCCCCACCTCTCTATGGCTTCCCAGCTCTTTATCTATTTCACTAAAAACTTTTTAAAGGGAGAAATGGGGGCGTTGGTGGTTGTGGGATGGGCAACTGAGGTTTGGGCTGGGGTTTGCTTTCCCATGACAGATAAAATCACTCAAGTGATTTCACCGCTGCTTCTAATTAGAAGGGAGCTTTAAAAGAAGCCACAGGATTTGGGGCTCCGAGGAGCTCACCTCCCCCGGCAGGAACCACACCTGGCTGGGAGGGAGACGAGGGTGAGGAGCTTAGCCTCGGGCCGCGCTCGCCGCGTGACGGTGCCAGCTCCATCCCGACAGCCACGAGATCAGACTGTCCAGGGCTGGGGCCTGGGACGACAGGGGCAGGCCCAGTTACCCTCCCTGGCTGCCGTCGCGGGGACCGAGAGATGAACACAGAACCGGTTTCAAATCATCTTCTCTGACATGTCAGGCAAATGTGTGTGAAAGGTCAGCTCCGCGCTAAGGAATGGACATTTGTCCCCACACCAAGACCTCTCCTTTCCAACCCTACGTTTGTGCCTCCATCCATGGTGGCCTACCCAGATGGCCTTGCGCCCTCCCGGCGTTCCCAGGGATAGTGTGATGGTGTCTCTCCCAAAGAGTCACCATGTCGCCTAGGCATTTTAGTTGTCCTGGCCTGAGGGACTTTTATCTCGGTGCCGATTCTCTTGTTGATTTGAAACTTTCTTGGACCTGCCTTAGAACCTTGCTCAACAAGTTTTGCCTTTTGCTTGTGAGTGTTTTTTCTTTTTCTTGTGAGAATTTTAAGTAATTAAAATGAGGACGTTTTAACCCATAAGCGTCTACACTTCACTTTCCCAGCTTTTCCCAGGCTGTCGATATAGGCTGGTGAAATCCATATTCTTCAAAGTCCAAGACTCTCACCGGGGACGCGCCTGTAGTTCTTTGAGATTCCGGCGGGAGGCGCTGTGCTGTCTTAAAATGAGCACGACTTCAGGCCCAGGCAGCCTCGCTTCTCCCTCGCACTGGTGGAACAAGAACTGGAGAGACCTGAGACCTGGCTGTCTGGGTCAGGCCCAGCCCGAGAAAGACGCGCGGGCGTGTGCGATGGCCGGGTGGGGCGCGAAAAGTGCCATCTCCAACTTCGCTACTTTTTTTTTTTTTTTTGGTGGGGGGTGGTGTGAGGCAAAGAAGAGGCAAAGCTGCTAATGTTCTTAAGCGCGAAACCAAGCCTCCGCTTAGGGTTGGAATGAAGTGCACAGGGAGATTTGGAAGGAAGCAACCCAAGCCTTGGCCTTAAGGGCCCTTGGTCTGTTCAGTTGCTAGGGTCACGGGTGGGATCCGGGTGGGAATAGGGGAGAAAAGGGATGAGGGACTCGAGGAATCCAAGTGCAGCCGAGAGCTAAAATTGAACTTTGGAGTAGGACCACTTGGGGTCCAAACTCTGCTCTGTCATTTACGTGTATAGGCTGAGTGATCTAGGGCAAGTTACTGAACTTGTCTGAACCTTCATTTGCTCCTTTGTAAAATGGGTAATTTATTGTGAGAATTCACTAGGAGAATGTCCGCAAAGCGATTAGCACAGCACCTGGCCCACCTTGTGCTGTCAAGAAAAGCTGCTGAGCCTGATCAAGGACGGCCTCCTCAGCCCATCCCCCACCCCCACCCCAAACCGGTTCAATTCCAGATGTGATGTCAACTCCATTGCTTTCTTAGGCACACTTAAGAAAGGGGGTCAACTGCAAGTCCCGCTACTCCCTCCTCAGAGCCGTTGTCTTCCCAGTTGTGCACCCACCCCCTTGCTCCCCAGACACCCACTTCAGCCTTTAGGGCCTTTCTCCACTTTGACCTCCTCCGCCCCCACTCGTCCGACTCTGCCGCCTCCAGGAGGGAACCACGGGAGGGGAACGGGAAGGGGGCGCGGATGCGGAACTTCATTCCGCACCCATGCTCTAGTCGGTCACCCTAGCCAGCCAGCTGCTCCCAGTGCTAGGGCAGGCCCAAGGCCACAACAAACTGCTTTGGGCGGCCTGCCTCAGCATCCAAGCAGTCTCCAGGACGACAGCATCTGGCCTCCTGCGAATCAGGGAAACTGCGGCTTTTTAAATAAACCGGGTTAGGAGAGGGAGAGCATCAGGAGATCCCTCCCCCCCCACACACTCACACAAAGCAGGTTCCGTAGTTAAACAGGTCCTGGGATTCTTGGCCCAATAGGAAACTTTTTTGTGCACTATTCAGTGTAGGCAACCTGAACTATGGGAAGGAACTGGATGAATTGGTGTCAGATTGCAAGGAGCTCCCAGCTTCAGATGATGCTGAGCTCAGGCTCTCTGAGGTCCCTGGTCTTTGGGGATATCCGGATGGAATCTACTCCTACCCCACAACCCCCCTCCCGGCTCCATCAGCCCCCAAGTTGCAGCTGGAACAATCTTTCCCTTAGGGTAAAAAGCTCTGCTTGAATTGCATTCACCCCACCTCAGAACCTCCAGAACTCTTCCTCCAGCTTTTCATGCATCACCAAGTGCCAAACTCCCAGCGTCCCTTTGGAAGCTCCTAAGGCACTTGGAAATCTAGACCTGAGTCTGAGGCATGAGTTAATTCGGAAGTTCACTCCTGTAGTGGCCTGGCTTCTCTATCTCCTAGTAGGGGCTGATTGGGACAGGTTAAATGACTGCTCACAGCACCTCAGCCTCATCCCTTGCAGCGGCTTCATCATCCACTCCCTTGGGCTTGAGAGAACTTAAGTCAACTTTGCGTCTTTCTTGGGCGCCTTGGAGCAGTAAACTGGCCCCCAGGCTCGGAGCAGGGAAGGGAGAAGGGTTGGACCCTCAGGGGCAAAAGTGAAGGGAGTTGAAGATGTCTTGCTACGCCAGGACCTGAAGCACTCACCTGGAGTGATTCCTCCAGTGCACAAAAGCCCGCTGACTCTACAGTTGGATTAAGGCAAAGGAATAGAATTACAGTAACCACAGAAGAAAGAAGCCAAACCTCTTACCAAAGGTGCCCAGGGAGAGAGCGGAAGGGAAGCCCGGCAACACTGACTTGTGTCCACCGGCGCCTCCCAGGCATGCTCTTTCAACTGGGAGTTCTTGGATCACCGAGTACAGAAGGCCCGAGGTGTGCAGCAAGCCGGGAGGCCCAGGGGCGGAAAACTTAGAGATGCCCTGGAGGCCAGAGTACGGTGACCCTACTAGGTGCACTTCCCCATGCGCGGCCGGGGTCTCTCCTGGCCCCAGGCGACAGGTGCAGCCTCAGACTCCGCCGCCCGCTGTGTCGGGGCGGCTGCCGAGCACTGGTGCGGAACCACTATCGGAACGAGTTTGCGCTTCTGTTTACAAAGCAATCCTGCCATCAAAAGAGGAACAAAATCACCACTTATCACACCCTGTCATAAAGTAATCTGCCCTGGAGGGAAACCCTAGCGAAGAACCGCGCGGAGTTGGGGAGAGGGGAGAAAAGAGGAACTCTCTCAACTCGCTTCTAGAGTGAATCGCTTGGACACGCCAAGCCTCTCCAGGACCGGGAATAACAGAGGGTATTCCGCGTGCTGGCGCTGGGGTGTGACAGGGATCCCAGCCTGGGACTGGGCCGGGCAAAGCACCGAATTGCTCTCTTGGCTCTGTGAGATCCGTCCATCTACAGCTCCCCACTCTGATGTCTCCTTTTCTAGTGTTTCCAAGACACTCCAACTTTCTCACCCCCCAAAATCCAAAATAGATGCTTGGAGAGGGGAAAATGCGTTTTTGGAAACTGAGAGGTCCCTTTTGATTTATTTCCCCGCGGGAGCACTGCAGGACCCAAAGGACAGTCTTCAGGAATTCCTAACCAGTGGGGGAGGGCTTTGCTCTCCTTAATCCCCAGGCATTCCCCCAAGCACTTGTTCATGAACGGGGGAGGGGATGTTAAGGACAAGCCAGGCAGTACCTGTCAAATGGCCAGGGAATGGGGAACAGGAGGAAGTCCTAGGAAGTTATAAGAATCCCTGTGAGGACCCAGTCCTATCTGGTTATCTCTCCCGGTCCTGGCTTGTCTAGAGTAAGGTGAGAAACCCTTCAGGCAGCTGAAGCCATGCACAACGGGGTGATTCTGGAGGGTCCTCTGAGGTACAGATGCCTCTGTCTCTCCTGTTGTCCTTGGGAAGAAGGAAGAGAACAAGATTTCCCACCCTCACCCCTCCTAGTCCCCCCTTCTGTCCCACTTCAGATGTCTGCTGTGAAGACCTT